ACACACACACACACACACACACACACACACACACACACACACACACACACACACACACACACACACACACACACACACACACACACTCGCACACACAGAAAATGAGAGAGAGAATTTGGGGTGCTTAACAACACACTTTCCGGTCTTGCTATATCTCTGTTTTGGCAGATTTGAGCAGTTAGGATCGGGCTCGTACTAGCGAGCTATTCTTTCTCTGTGGTTGGATGTGTTTTGTTGGGTTTGTTTTTATACATGGCCTGATTCTTTGCCTTGCTTTGCAGCACAGGCTGTTTTGTTGAGTGGGTGGCCACAAGCTTTTTTCGGGGTGGGTGTTTGGGGTTTTGTCCATAATACCTCTGCGAGGAGGCTCTGAGAGTGTTTGCTGTGGGTGTCATTCCCGCGGGCTGCTTTTTTGGAGCACATAGAAATGGGGTGGCCTCTAGGTTGTTTGAAGCAGTAGCGCTCCTGGTGTCGCGCGGAGATCTTGTGGAATTTGGCACATTAGTCATGGAGTGATAGAGTTGGCGGTGGCGTGAGTGCAGAGTGACAGTGCTGCTTTGTGTGTGGGCTCACTCGGAGGGCTCTTCAAGTTTTTTCGGACTATGTGGGCTTTGGTCCGTGCTGTCTTTTGCCTTTATCTTTATTGTGTGGGCCGACGTCGAGGGCTTTCCAGGTTTTTGGGATCTTTGGAGTATGGGGTGTGGGCACTTGGCGCTGAACCACACAAACGTGGCCGACCTTGCATTTTCTATTTTATTAGCTATCTATACCCTTTTGTTATGCATGGATGCTTTGTTATGATTTGTGGAGGAAAAGAGAGAGAGAGAGAATTTGGGGTGGTTTAACAACACACACACACACACACACACACACACACACACACACACACACACACACACACACACACACACACACACACAAATGCACACATACACATGCACACACACCCATGTACACGGAACAAGCATGTGTCGCACATACACACATGCACACAAACGTACACACACATGCCCACATGTGCACACAGGTGCACATACATATAACAAATACACATGTACATGCCCAGAAACACACAAAGACACATGTACATGCAACAAACACACATGCACATTGCACATACACGTACACACACATGTACATACAGAAGAACGACAAGAACGCGCACAAAAGCACACATGCACATTGCACAGAAATGCAGGAGAGCTCCACACAAAAGACAGACGAGAAGAACGCGCACAAACAGATCTGCATCGACAACAGAGCTGAACAAACAATATTTAGCGACTTATACATGGAAGAGGGTATGGGTATGTATGCAAACTCAAATGTCGCATGATTGCGAAAACGCCGCCGGGTACGAAAAACTCAAATGTCAAATCCAGGGACAATCAGACGAACAGATCAAATTCATTCTGAATTACCTGGGGCCGGTCAGTTCAATGATGATATCTCAAGGCCGTCACCCTTTTTAAATCACCAGTACTGCCACGACTCTTGGAAAGTACCGGGGCATCGTTTCACTGGATATCCATCCAGGGAAAATGTCTTGCTTGTGTGGGGCTCATTTTGCCTGGATGGATATCCAGCACAACGGCGCCCCAGTACTTCCCGAGAGTCACAGCCACATGCGCGGCCCGTTTTGCCTGGATGGATATCCAGAGAAATGGCGCCCCGGTACTTCTCGAGAGTCCCGGCAGCATGCACGCCCGGACTCTGAGAAATCCGCTGGCAAACGTACTGGTGGCTTAAGCCACCAGTACACGGCCCCAGCCTTGCTGAAACGAAAACTCGTCGCCTACGAAATTTTCAGCGTCCCCGCACCATAGATAAGTCCAATCGGTGGAGGGTGGCCTCCAAAAAGGGCCCGCGGCCTATAGCTCGATATACTGGTGGTTTAAGAAAAGGAAAAGGAAAACTTGTTGGGGGGGGGGGGGGCATTATAAGAGGGAGGTGTAACGTCCTCGAAGTGGTTGAATTCTTCCCATCCTTCCAAAAAGTTTGAAAAACTCACAATGAGTATAAAATTGTGCGGTTCTCTCTTCTTCTGATATGTGCCATATAATGTCCCCAGATTGTGTGACCGCTACCCATCTTTTCAGCACTTCCTTCAGCATTCCATGGTAGAGGAATATGTCAGCAGTGTCTCAAATTCCTACTTTACCCATAATCTCCCTGAAGGTGGTGGTTATGGATTATGGTTAGCCATAATTCCACAGTTACGGAGATGCGGTCTATGGGATCAACATGATTTTTATTTGAAACGAGTACGTTTATGTCACTATCCGAGTTGAACAAAAAGGCAGAAAAAACACGAAACGGCAACAAAGACACTGCCAGAGTTTGTAAAGGCAAAAGTATTAAAATTAAAAATAACAGGAAATGGCAGTAACAGCAGGGCCAGAGTTCAGACAGAGCACTTTCGTCACCTCCATTGTCAGGGATTTTTTTTCTTCTTTTTTTTCCGCGTCAGTTTTCTTTCGCGTCAGGGTTTTTTTTTCACGTCAATTTTTTTTCGCGTCTGTTTTTTTCTTTTTCGTCAGTTTTTTTTCACGTCAGTTTTTTTTTCGTGTCAGTTTTTTTTTCCCCTCGCGGCAGGGGCTGGGCGACGGCCGCTGTCTATGCCACACCCGTGGCTGGGCAACGGCCACGATGTCTAGGCCATGGCTGGGCCACGGCCGAGATGTCTAGGCCACGCCTGCGGCTGGCCACAGCCACAGCAGTGATGTCTAGGCCACGCCCACTATGTCCAAGCCACGGCGGCGGTAGAAAATGCCAAAAAAAAAAAAAAAAAAAAGACTCAATAAAAACAAGGGAAAATGTTTGAAATGCCCCTTTGGGTTTATTTGTGGCGTGCCTCTCTGACGGCCGACTTACCTTGTCGTGCCCCTCTGACGACGAATGATGTTTCCAGAAACCCCCTGCCGTCGTTTGGGCCTCAAACATGTTTCATATGCCCCTACCGGTACCGGTACCAAATTTTCAGTATGCCCCTACCGGCTGCCTGTTGAGAACCAGCAGAAAAGTTTCCCATATGCCCTTACCGGTACCGTCCATCTTTCCAGCAAGCCCCTGTCGCCTTTGTTGACACTCACAGTCAGTCCATACAAGGGAAGAGGAGGGAAGAAGGGGGAAGAGTAGGGAGGACAAGGATTATGACGATGACGGAAGAGGGAGGAAAGAGGGAAGAGGAGGGAAGCGGAGTAGGGAGGACATTCAATTCGTCATCAAATGCCACCTGTCCAACCAACAAGTAAACGAAAAGATGACAACAACAACACACACACACACACACACACACGCACACACACACCCCAAATGACTAAAAAACGAATGACAAACACCTTCGATTCTTCATCATGTACCACCTGTCCAGCCAACAAGTAAACGAAAAGATGACGTGAACACACACACACACACACACACCAAATGACTAAAAAACGAGTGACAAACACCCTCCATTCATCATCATATACCACCNGAGTGACAAACACCCTCCATTCATCATCATATACCACCTGTCCAACCAACAAGGAAACGAAAAGATGACGTGAACACACACACACACACACACACACACACACACACACACACACACACATACAGACGCTCGCACATGAACGGGCGATGACGCGAAGAAGACGGCCATGGTGATGGTTAGGAGGTCGGCAATCGAGGAGGAGGAGGAGAGGGAGGGGTGATGAGGAGAAAGTTGGAGGAGGGAGGAGGGAAGAGGAGGGAGGAGGAGTAGGTGAGGACAAGGACTACGACGATGGACGAGGATAGAGGATGGAGGCTGGAGGAGAAGAGAGGAGAGCGACGAGCATGGATGGAGGAGGAGGGAGGAGGGCGATGAGCATGGGTGGAGGAGGAGGGAGCAGCGATCCATGGCACGGCGAACTTGAAGAGGTCTGCTAGGGGTGGGGAAGTATTTCACCATCCCTAGCAGAACCAGCTGGGTTTTAAAAAAAGACTGACTGCTGCACCATTCTTCCGTGGCAGCACGTGAAATACCTACCATTTCGAGTTCGAATTCCTGCCGCCACTGCTGCAAAAGCATCACAGAAAGATGTGTGCCCCTCGTGAGGGCATTTCAAGGACGGACCGGTGAAACGCCATCAGCGGTCCAGTAAGGGCATATCGGAAAGTTACGCCCCATGCTGACAGGGGCCTGCGAAAAAGTTCAGAGGCCTGAGGGGCATAACAGGGTACGTCGGCCTTCACTGGGGCACGCCGCAAATAAATGCAAACTTCAGGGGCATTTCAAAAATTTTCCCTAAAAACAAAAACTGATGCCTGAAGAAAAAAAAAAAGTTGGACAGGGGAACGGACCGGTACCCAACATGCCACAACCGCGTTAACAAAACCGCACCCTGACATCACTGCCGGCCTGAGATTATACTATGGGCAGTGTGGCTGCATAGGGGTGAGTGTGGTTGGGTACACAGTGTCCCGGGATCTCCGTGCTGGGGTGGGGTGAAGTGCTCATCTTGGGGCTTCACTTTCACCCCAGC